ATTGAATTGAATTGTAATTATGTTACTCGCCTTGGACATTTTTTCTGTCGCAACTTATGCACGAATTTTACGGAACACTCAAGAAAATTATCATGTGAGAAAATAAGGATTTAAGGACATACGCAACGTAGTTTGAACTTTACTGTCTTTTTCCTTGGAGTTGAATAGTTCCAATACTTAAAGGAACTGTGTGCTACATTTTAATGTCTATATATGCTATTGTACACTTCTTCTAAAACAAGTTTGGATAAACAAAACATCTAGAATGTATGTTTAGTAATTTTTGTATATTTTTCTTTGAATTATACAAGAATTTTCATCAATTGATATCTTTTCAGAATCCCTGGTAATGCGTGCTGATTTTTTGTCTACGAACATTTGGTGGCACTATAATCTTAAATTAAGAATATCTCGAAAAATTATCAGTAGGTAAGGTACGTTGCGTGTGTCCTTAATCAGGTAGAAAAAAAATTACTCGGTGTTTTCTTTATCATTGTTAATGCCGAGTTTGCAGTATTAAAATCATCATTTCGCAGCGGTAAAACCGCTGTACATGATTACGCCGTGAAACTTTTCATAGGAATTATAATCAGTTAATCGTCACTTGATAAGTGATTGTTAGATTGATTTAGGTAACCAGTGTAACAACGAATATTGCTCACTTTATTCTTTGTTATTATATCTGAAATTAATTATTATTATATATATTATATCTGAAAAGAAGAATATTTTTCCTGTGACATTTTATCACGGGATCGTGGAAAATGTGATGTGTTATTTACACATAATAAATATTCTTCAGAAAAGTTTCACGGCGTAATCATGTACTATTTGAAACTTAGGACCATACTTGTCTAATCTCAAAATGTAACTGGTCGTATTAAAAAAAGTCTGGTTTATTCTTTCAAATAATATAAACGGTCAGGGATTTTTGTGTGCGATGCATAGTGTGTATAAAGCAGATGCCCATACGCGAATCTAGAGGGGGGAGGTGGTCGCCCCCCCCCACCCCCACCCCGGAATTTGCATGCAAAGTTATTGAAAGTATATACTGAATCAAATAAAAATTGATTTTGGACCCCCCCCCCCTCCCTTGAAAACGTGGACCCCACCACTACCACAACGAAATAGGTTTTTCACGTTTGTGAAACGGATTTTTTTTCTTTTCAAGAAATTTTCGGGGTTTGATACTTTTGGGAAAGCAGTTTTGCTTGTCAAGAAATTTCTGGTTTGGATTTTTTTTTTTTTGACTTGGGTGGACCCCCCCCCCCCCAACACTGGAAAGAATTCCGGGATACCTATTCTCAATTAGGAATTTTATAGATTTAGTGAAGATCCAGATTAGACAGATTGCTATCATCAGTGATTAATAAATGGTGATTTATAAATTATTTTGAAAGCATAGCAATATTTTACACAAAATTTTGGACAATGTTCTTTTAATATTTGCGTATAATTTACACAAATAGGTATATACGTATATTGTACAAGTAAAAAATAACTACCGGAGAAAGAACAAAGAAGAGGCCGTGAAGATTTAATATTATCTAATCATATTTTCTTTTCTGATATACATGTATATATAATGTGATTTGATAAATTTGCCTGACCATACATAGCACACTAAAATATGAATTTAATTAATAAATGAAAATAATTCTTGCATGAATGAAGATATACATGTTATGTAAACGTGTCACAAGAATATTGCTTTTATTCCTTATTATTATTTTTTTTTTGTTTCAATGCGTGGACAATATTATGACATTTTTTACATGTGCGCAAGCCCCTCCTCCCCTATCTTAAAAACGTATGATCTTGTTTTGGAAGAAATAAACATGCTCTCTGTGTTTGCACGTTAATTTCATGTATTTAAGGAATAACTGTCTAATTTTTTGGATTCATGATGTGATCAATCGAGTGGCTTGCGTGATAATTTGCATAAACGCCGAAGGCGTTTATGCATAAAATTATCACGCAAGCCAATCGATTGATCATCGTCATGAATCCAAAAAATCTGACAGTTATTCCTTATATTTACATGCTCCTGATTCTGCAAATTCCCGTGCTAATAGCCCCGCCCCGCACGTGATTTTTTTTTAACCGCGCCTATCGATGAACCAGTAGATTTATGTAGAAATAAAGTATTTTTACAATTTGTAATTTTATCTCGGACAAAGACATTGGAAATGTAAATATTCATGGATTAACCTGTGCACTGTCATAATATTTGCAAACATTTTACCATAAAATAATTCTGTGAGATTTTATTTGAGACTACTATGTACCAATCTCAAGATTTTCTGAGAAATCTCAGATTTTTTTCTCAGCTGAGTCGGAAAAAACGTTGGTGGCACACACGTTTCAGAGAAATCTCAGATTTGAGAAAAATCTCAGATTTAAGAAAAAACTCAAGAAATAAGTCTGAGTTTGAGAAAATATTTCATTGGTGGCACAGTTCGGTGAGAAAAACTCAAATTTTCTGAGAAATCTCAGATTTGAGAAAATCTCAGCGTTGGTGGCCCCGAAGCCTGATGTTTTTAGAGGCCCATGTTTGTTCTGCTTCTAATATCTAGTTTCAACGGACTTTTGAGCTTGATTACTATTTGTTATCTTCATATTTCATGAAAAAACATCAGTCAATATTCGACTCAGTGACAGGTTTTATTTGTAAACAATGTTAAAAGTTTGCATGTTGCTTATAACTAGATTGTTGATACCCTTGTATCATTAACACAAATGCTAGAAGGCTGTCATGGCTTAGAAACTGATTGTACGCAGAACATGCTCTTGTATATCGACTCGAGTGGGAGACTTAAACATTACAAAAATAAGGGAATCTGGCGATAGATAAATTAGACTCATCCTGTTTATCAGAGTTTCATAGTTAATTTCCATCAGTGTCTACAAATACAAAGCTAAATAATTGGTTTGCGGCGATTAATATTCGCCGCAAATAAGTAGTGTCTAGTAAAATATTCAAATGTGAAAGAGACGTGTCAGACTCCGTGTGTTTTTTTTCTTATCTTACGTTTAATATGATAATCGAATCAATATATGAATAGAAAAAAGCTGATTGATAAAATTATTGATAAAATTATTCAATATATCTATGATATGATTTATGATAAACGTGATGACTTTAACTTTTCAATCGTCAACCTCCCCGAATATTAATCGCCGCAAACCAATTATTTAGCTTTGTATTTGTAAAGAATGTTTCTTCAGTCGCAAAAATTAATTGTCGCGGATTGATTTCAAACTGACGATTCGCGAATAAAAGATGACGCGAATAATAGTTAGTTTACAGTATCATTGAGTCTAATGCGGACTGACGCCTTTCAACAGATTGTTGATCAATTTACTGAAGAAGCAGTTATCTAAAATATCTAATGCTCTTTTTAATTTTTCATGCCAAATATTTGTATAAACTGAGGAAGTTAAATGTTTTTGGTTGTTTATGAAAAAAAAACTCTTTATGGATTTTTAGCACCCACATTTGATTAACGTCACCTTTCAAATACTACATGTAAGTATGTTGTATCACACTTCTGAAGTTTCTCCTGTACTACTTATGTTTGTGAGGAGTAAAGATAGACGGTAGAACATTTGCTTGATTACGCTATGTATCTTCATTTGTCAGAATTTTTATAAAGTTTCGGGATCCAGCAAAATAAATTCAATTTTGTTGTTGGAAATATTAAAATTTTAAAAATTTACAACTGCTTTTGAAGAATATCTTCAGTTGAAAAGGAACTGCGAGAATAAGCTGCATTACCAGTAGTAGAATGGAAATATGTCATATACTATTTTCATATGAGGTCTTGTTCATATCAGATTCGTTCAAGAAATGGATTCAATTTTTGAAGAGGATATGAACTACAACGTTTCATACCGGCATATTTCATGGAGCGCGTTAACGACTAACTATTATTGTTATGTTGTTATATTTTCATGTACGGGAAAATGTTATCTAATTTGGCTTAATGGTTTCTAAACAAAGATTCAAATAATATTTGCTATAAAGTCAAATATCTTCACAGTTCTGATCGGATATGAGTCTTTCAAGTTTAGGAGAGTTTTTTCTGACATTTTTATTACATGCAGTGATGTTATTTGTTCTTTATAATTTGTTTTGTCTTACTTTCGTCCGTAAGAAGATTTGTACGCCGATCAAAGAGTAGGTTCACCTAAAGCATAATATGACCCTGCCAAAATACCAATTACCTGACCAAGACCCAGTGTTCCATTTCAAATATCAATTTAAAGAGGAGTCTAAGTGCTTTCATTTCCTAAATACAATTTCCGCTGAGCGTCCTGATATTAGAAAATTGGGATTTGTGAAACTGCAGTGTTCTTCAATTTTGCAGAAGAAGGGAGTATTTGAGTATCTTCAGCTAACAATTAAAATATGAATCCACCCCTCGATCCAAAAAATAAATTATTTCTATAATCTTCAGAAACAGATCCTTCATTATATAACTGCACATTTTAGATTAGTTGTGCTCTACGTAAAATATTGAAAACGCTCTAAACATTTAACCATTTTTGAAGAAATTTTTAGGAATTGAGAATAAAGACGCAATTCATGACGTCAAAATATATGAACTTGTGAGAAAATTACGTCATTTTAATGGATATACAGTCACCAAGGATCCAAGTGAAAATTAATGTACATGTATTGTCAACTAAAACTAAGCGGTTTTGATTTTTCAGAAAATCACAAGGCCAAAAAAATGTCCTAAGTACCTTGTTCTTCCAGCATGTAAATAAATTTTCATTTCTAAAATATTTTTCTCTTTGATGGAATGAATTTCATAAAACTAGATAATCTTTAAAAAAGAATAGTACATACTTTTCTAAAACATCAGTAACTTCATTGTAACTTCACATAAAGTTCTCAAGGAGAAATTAAAATTCATTCACACTAGAAAAAAATGATTTTTCAAGGGCAAATCAGAGATAAAAATTATGAAAAATAATTACCCAAAACAAATCAGTCTAGAATATCTCAAATTAACTGCTGTCAATTCTTTTATTTGTTCTCAGCAATATTAACATTTACCGAACATAAAAGCTGCTTTGTGAAGTTCAGACTTCGAAATGTCCTGGCTACCTGTAATTGATTTTCTTAGAATCAAAATATGTTATTTTGCATTTAAATGTTGATTGTTGTATACTATTTCAAAGTGAGTATATTGCCTTAATATAGTATTAAAAAGAGAAGAATGCATCATAGGTTCTTTGCTTACTGTCTGTGTCTGTAGCTTGGAAAGCCGATTCCATATCTTTCGACGCTACAACTGAATGAGCAAGAGCAGAGAATTCCTCAAAATCCACACGACCATCGTTATTTTTGTCCCAAACGGTAAAGTCACAAGACAGAGTGCGGACAGCAGGCCTCTATAAAAAATGCAGATGCGTCATGATTAGTTTATGATAGGCGTAAAATATTAAACCATATTAAAGAAAAAAATCTAGACTTAACATTGTTTTGATCTACCTTATTACATTTTCAACAGTGAAATAATGTGATTTATTCTTTGAATAAAAGTGATATTCTCTCACAGTGTGAAAGGATACCAAAGTGATATTCTGTCACAGTGTGAAAGGATATCAAAGTAAGTAAAATATAATTTCTGCCCTGTAACAAGATTGAGATAGAAACTAAACCATCTTGACAGAGATTAAAACTGCCAATTTCTTCCCAAATATGTTGCTAAAATCTATGTTTCAATGTTTTCAATCTAACTGCCAAGCTATGACTTCTTAACTGCTACAACTATGACGCCACAGCCTATGACACTGTGTTAAGAAAAGAGAGAGGCAAAGGGAAAAATCAAAGAAAATGTAATAAACATAAAATTCAATGTGTTGTAGTTGGATATAGAATTTATTTCACTCGTGAGACAGGATTTTTTATATTTTCACGAGTGCGAAGCACCCGTGAAAATAACAAAAATCCTGTCCCACTCGTGAAATAAATTCCATATCCAACTACAAAATATTGAATATCCTCTATATATTTCTCTTCTACCACACAACTTTTTGCAAGATCTTCTACAGTGGGGCTCAAAGCAGACAAGATTTTACGCACTTTATTTTACACGCCATATACAAACAATATTGACGATACATCTTACCCTGATCCTGATTCGCCACCGACGTATTCGTCTCCAGGCACCAGACGACTCCTCTAACAGGCAGCACGTGATCACAAGCACTAGAAGTACAAGTGATAGCTTCATTCTTAAAATGCAATTACACCTGCAAAAAAGACAAAATGATGTTGTTTCTCTAACGCAAACCAAATAAATATCAAATAATCAATTCTAAAGGAGTTATAACTATTGCTTTAATAATACAGAATTATCATTATTATCTTTAATATATATTTTAAAAATACATCTGTCAAAACTCTATAGTTTATAATTACCTTTCTATTCCAGGAACTTCCAATGAAATGCAGTCTTCTATCCTGCTTATTTATATGCTCGGGCATTAACTTAATCTATTCAAATTATTTACAATCCTTTTTTATTCGAATGACACTTCAAAAGTTTGAGTACTACGACCATTTGTTGCTAAAATTAATTTATTAATTTACAGATGTTGCGTTATTTATGTTTCAAGGTAAATGTAAACCAGTGTTAAATTTTGCCTACTTTGCAGAATTTTAAATACATGTATATCAAACATCGTTTTTTTTTTTTTTTTTTTTTTTTTTTTTTTTTTTTTTTTTTTTTTTTTGTATATTCGTCCGAGCAGGAAAAAGAAATGCCGGTATTACTCTTTGACTTGAGCATCAATTTATGGCTTGAGCATCAATTTTTTCTTCTATATTTAGGCTTTGTTATTGAATTTTCCTGTTTCCTGTTCTTTGTGCATTACAGTCTTTTTCTATCATTATTTTATCGTTACTTTGTTGATCTTCTTTTCCCATACACTTTTCTTTATGGAGAATAAATTTAACTTTTTATATGGAGTTCACAGCACCGTAAAACATAAAACTACTTTGTTTACTGATCTCTTGACCCCAATATTAAAAAACCTACCAACTTATTCTACTTGCCACCTTATTGCTATGCATTTAGTATTAAATGCATTGACATACACCAGTATATTGTATTATTAACTATAGTTACCAGTAGATTACTAAAAACTATATAATTTCTTAAAAGTTTTGTCGGTTTTCATGTTCATTTGTCCTTTTTCTCAATCCTGGTTCAATTTACTAGTATTTTCTTATAGAGATGGACTTAATTCCCATGTATGTGACAAAGACAACACTTGGACTGTTTTAATTAGCGCCGGAAATATATATATATATATATATATATATATATTATTTTCTCAATATTCTTTCTTTGATTTTTTGATATAGATGTCATAGCTGGACTTTATTGCTCCATGTATAAACTGATATATCGATATGATTCAATCTCATTCTTATGTCAATATTTTTCAAATCAATATTTTGATAGATCGATATAACTTTTAGCAATAAAATCCATCAAACAGAAAAGACGCTTTAAATTATTTAAAAATATCCAGATATAATACAACATATAAGTAAAAGTAAGAAGTTATAAAACATTATATGTTGATAAGACAATAAAAAGTAAGACTATATATGAAAATGTAACACAACAAGTGTAGAGACCTTTGCGCTTCCGTACTGGACAGCTGTAAGAAATTAAGTCACAGCTTCAGATATTAAATTACGAAAGCCGGATAGCCTCATTTTTGACAAGATAAAAAAATAATTAACTCGTTATAACGAGATAGTTATCTCGTTATAACGAGTTAGTATCTCGTTATAACGAGTTAGTTATCTCGTTATAATTTAATTTCGTTTGTATACTAGCCTCTGATTGGTTAATATCCAAAAAGGAACACAAATTATTTCTGTATAACCTGGTTTGGTATGGGGACACACCCCCCTGACAACCAGCTGAATCACCTGTATCCATACAATCCTCTCATTTCCAGTCCTCGGGATTCATGGAAAATTCCAGATTTAATAAATGTACCTTTAATTTCAAACAATAATTCGATCTTACCACATGTAACCAAACAACATGGCTGCTATGCCTATGTATCAGTTTTTACCTCCCCTCGATTCCCATCACTTCCGTTACTTCCGTTACTATGGTTGTATTATTGAGCGGCAAATTTGAACTAATAAAAAGTAACGAAATTTTAAACCCATAGTTATTTAATGATTTTAAAATTAAATTATAAGGAATGACTCTAATTCTTGGCCAAATTATTCGAGTATAACCTGGTTTGGGTCAGTTTACGCTGTTTTATAATCCGCTTCGCGGATTATAAAGCGTAAACTGACCCAAACCAGGTTATACTCGAATAATTTGGCCAAGAATTAGAGTCATTCCTAAAATAACGAGTTAGTTATCTCGTTATAACGAGTTAGTTATCTCGTTATAACGAGATAATAATCTCGTTATAACGAGATAACTAACTCGTTATAACGAGACAGTTTTCTTGTTATTTTGAGACTTAATAGCAATGTAGGAATAAAAATGGCTGCAGTTTTAAATGCCAATTAATTATCAGTCAAATTTAACTTGAGCAATTGATAAATGGTTGAAAATTTAATTTGCTCTGGGGTTTACTTATGATTAAATCTTGAACTATCTCGCTGTCAATAATCATAGCAACTCTAAGGCGAACACATTTACACATTTTCGTGAACTCCTCCTCAAATTGTTGCATTAGGACGCGATATTTTTCTTAAAATAATATTGCCAAACATACTTGCTTCAAACTTTGGCAATTTATTTATGACAACTATTTCTGATGAATGACACTATTTCGATATGTTTTGGACGACTTATACACTTTCATATATCAATTTCTATACCGCTAAAATTAAATATCAGAGACAATATAAGTGCAACATATCGTTTATGCAACATATATAGATTACAGTGTTATACATATGTTACTTCTGAGATTCAGAAATGTTTTGAAAACGGCAGTTAGATCATAGGCGTAGTAATAGAGGGGCTAATGTCCACACCACCACTTTTGAAAAGGGGGCGGTCAAGAGTATCTTTGTGCCCCTTCCTCCATATTTTTTTTTACCTGAGTAAATATCTCCCGAAAATAATGGCGAATACTCGTAGTTGGAATATCAAATCTATTTTTTTTCTTTTTACTTGTCAAATATTTTACTTGGTTTAACCCCCCCCCCCCTTGAACTTTGTGACTTAGCTTATGCATATTGTCCACGATAATGAGGAATGGTGAAGCAAAAATGATATTACATCCTTTTAAGTAATAAGACGTTAAATCTGATCTGCTGATATTGACATTTTATCTAATATTCTGTCATGATTCATTTTTTTGTTTATATTTTTTGCGGGGGGTTGGGGGGTTGGGGGGGGTCCAAGTTGTGGAGATTCACGGAGACCTATTTGAGATTCACGTCTATTTGGCGGATCCTATATGTTTACCACATAGTGTCAGAACGCCAAACCAGAGTTTACAAAACAAAAAAAAGTTTACAGAGTTTACAAAGCCAGTTCACTTTTATAATCTTTTTACTTAGGATTGATCAACGAATAGGCCTAATACTACATATGTACATTTATATTATTAATACAACATTGAAGCAATGTCGTTAATTATTTTCCTCATCACAATAATTATTATGTATACTTTACAAGCATATAATTTTTATTTCAAAAAGAGATTGATGATTTTTTTTTTTTTGGGGGGGGGGGGTAATAAATAGAGGATATTCAATGTTTTATAGTTGATATGGAATTTATTTCACGAGTGGGACAGGAATTTTTTTTATATTTTCATGAGTGAAAATATCAAAAATCCTGTCTCAACATACAATACACATTTCTTGGCAAAATTTATGCTTGAAATACACCTTAAGTAATGCTTATCATATTGTAAACTTTAGATATTAAACTTTCATTCTATACCCAAAAAAGATCACATGTCAACTGTTTTTACTAATGCTGACCTTCACCTTTTATTGTGGCTTCCGTAGAATAAAGAGCTCCAAAAGTTTTTTTAATTCTACCACATTGATAATAACGCAAAAATTACATATTGTAATTTAAGATCCCATGCCAAATTGGTAAATTAAAATGTTTCTTTCTTTTAATAAACAGAAGAAATATATAAATTATTAAGTGATAAGTACAGTATTAGTTCTTGATATTCATCATATTTATTATTGAGGGGAAGGAGGGATTGATGATAAAAACAACGTGAATTTATTTTTTTGTCAGACATTGAATTTTGATCTTGCCCCTTTAAGACGATAAAATTGAACTGGTATTCCTTGTTAACAGGCAAGGAATTATCAAAATATGATCGTTAAAGCCTAACAAATGGTTTCATATCCACATGATTTATTCGGAATATTTAAAATAATGGGATTATTTCTATGCATTTTTTATTGCGACAAACATTACGCAAACATTATTATAATTTTAACAAATTCAAGAAAGCTTGAACAGGGCAGTTAAATCAGCCAGAGTATATCATTTTTTTCTGATCTCCTTGTACAAATTGACAAAATTTTGATGTTATATACATTCCATTTGAAGATGACACTAATTCTATTTTGCAATTTTAAGGTATAACACAACAACATGAGGCGGTCACAAGTTTCCGTATATTTGTCTTCGGTCTTTCCAATAAACAATACTAATCAAAGGAATAACACAAAAAAAAACTAGTATGCTGTTACATAAAATCTTTATCACGCACAATTCAAACAAATTTGATCGACTTGCTTCTGTATATTTCCTATAAATAATGGTCTATTCTTTACTTAGATATATCAATTCTAGATCAATTTTTATCTCGTTATAACGAGACAATTATCTCGTTATAACGAGATAACTAACTCGTTATAACGAGATAATTATCTCGTTATAACGAGATAACTAACTCGTTATAACGAGATAACTAACTCGTTATAACGAGATAACTAACTAACTCGTTATAACGAGATAATTAACTCGTTATAACGAGATACTAACTCGTTATAACGAGATAATTAACTCGTTATAACGAGATAACTAACTCGTTATAACGAGATAACTAACTCGTTATAACGAGATATTAACTTGTTATAACGAGATACTAACTCGTTATAACGAGATACTAACTCGTTATTACGAGATAATTATCTCGTTATAACGAGATAACTAACTCGTTATAACGAGATAACTAACTCGTTATAACGAGATAACTAACTCGTTATAACGAG